AGTTCTGGGCAAGACTGAAAATTACATGAGGGTTGGAGCATCTTGTTAACTGAAAGACTGGCTTTAGCACAGACCCCTGAGTTGAAATCCTATCCTGTTGCTATTTTGGGTCAGGTCATCATTATTCAGTATCTGCTTGATTTGACACGGTGCCTCATGGAATTTGTCATTTGCGTCTGTCCCCCTGATCCTGACCCCGTGGTCCAACTGTATCTTCCATGTTGCACAGCTGTATCCCCTCTGTCGGAGCCACCACAACACATCCTAGATATAGTTTGGCCAGGCAGAGTAAGTGCACAAGGCACATAAACTAAAATTCCCATGAAGAACTATGAGGCTTCACATGGACACAGATTAACACTGAGCTGGTTCAAAATTCAACATTTTGATGTTGGAACATCAAAATATTTTGTTTCAGCAGAAAGTATGCAAATGAAATATTCCAGCAATTCCCAGGCTAAATGTTTATGAACTTTCTGGTTTGAAAAAAAAAAAGTTTAAATAATTTTATGTTTTGTTCCAAATGGTGATGAAAACAAGATGTTGAAATATAAAAATTTCCTGCAAAATGATTTTTGGTCAGCTCTAGTCTTTTTATGACATCAGAGCAATTATTATTTAAACCAACAAATACACCAGATCACCCTAAAAAGAAAGAAAACTACTCACACACAAAGACTGTGCTAGGATATAAATTTTAGGTATGAGCCTAGCCATGTCAATGTACTCTGTGACATGGGCCGGCTGTCTAGCGCATGTGCTAAGACGTTCATTGGTACTTAACGTGGGATTGTAACGGTTGTAGTGACACTCTTTTTTTGAATGCTAGCTAGATGACAGTGAGTGTGTGTTTCTCCATGAGTTGGGAATTACATCCTCAGCTCCAAGCAAAGACATGGCCTATTTGGCAATAACAGTGACCTGAATTAAAGGAATGGTGTCAGTTTACACTTAGTCCTGGATTTGCATTTTGTAAAAACAAGTCTTTTAAAGGTTAAGGCTCAACAAAAATGTTTCCACTCTTTGTTTTTAAACAAACAAGGTTTGGTGAAACCAAACCACTGCTGCCCTAAAAACCTGGAAACAAAACAGACTAATTGATTTTTCATTGTCCAATCTTCAGAGAAATGCTTTCTGTTGTTTCAGACCAGAATGGTTAATGTTACTATGATAATCCTCAGCGTATCCATTCCAGATTATAATATAGTAACTGAAACATACATACATAAATACAAATAATTTAAAAAAATATTTTCCAACAGCTGTTTTTTCCCAAATAAATTAATAAGAGAACAATCTCTGAGGCTTTGAGTGGATCTTATACTAAGATATAACATGCATGAAGTCTAACAAGCACATGAGTTATGAATCTCATACATCATAATTATCAGGTGCAAGACAAGTCCCTGTTCTGTTAATAAGGATGTTAATTAGCAGTTAATTGACTAGTTGATGGAATTTCCATCGACTACTCGACTAGTTGATAGGCACTTCTGCATTCCTCCTTTGAAATGTACAAGAGCCCCCTACTGGGGCTCTCATACATTTCAAAGGAGGAATGCAGAATTCTGTGTGTAGCGGGGGCCAGTGGGAAGTCCCACTGATTCCAGGCTGCACACAGATGCCAACTCTGAAATGCATAAGAGTTCCCAGCAGGGGCTCTTGAGCATTTCAAAGTAGCAGCGCAGCATGGAGCCCGGGGTCAGCAGGGGATTCAGCTCCATGTGTGCTGTGTTGCACAGCTGAGCCTGGGATCAGCTGTGTGGCGCTGCTACTTTAGAGTACCCCCTGATAGAGGCAGCAGGGGGGGAAAGGGGGAGGGAGAGAGAATTAACTAGTTGACTTGTCGATTGAGTAAACAATAAGCATTTGCTTATAGGATAGTCAACTAGTCTTTAACATTCCTAACTGTTAACTTTTTTAATTACTTTATTGCTCCATGCATCTAAACAAAGCGTTGATTCCAATATGATGTTCACTTTTTAAGTATAATTTAAATTAAAATATTATGCAAGACTATATCATTTGCAATGCCTTAAATTACCTTAATTTCAGCATGGTTTCAAAAGAGCAACACTGTATGTTCAATGAAGCGTGTCAAATCATAATAATTCTAGGCTCTAATATTTCTTAATATGGAATGATCTCCAGCTACTTTTTCATAGATCATATTTTTAACTTTATTCTATGAAACACATACTTTTTCATTTACATCTACCTACATGTCTTAAAATAAAAGCTACTTTAAATGCTTTTACTGCCACTTTACACCATCCCTAGTATATGAAATTTATAAAACTCTTAAGTTATTAACTCCCCGGTAACTAGTGCTAATACAATTTCAACATTTTTGTGAAAATATTTTGCTGCATTTCAGACAGCTTTATTATTGCCAATCAAGAATCTTTTTATTATCAAATGCATCTTTAGGTACCTTTAAAATTCACTGCCATATATATGGCAGAAGTCCTAAATGCTGCATGGTGAACTTTTGCTTCCAGATTAGAAAGATGACAGCATCTTCTCAGTGAAATTCCATTAGAGCAGGGCTTGGCAATCTATGGCTTGTGAGACAAATACGGCTTACTAGGGAACCAGATATGGCTCTTTTGGAGACCCAAATCAGCCCCCCAGCTCCTCGCCAGCAGGGAGCCAGCGCTGGCGCGACAGACTTACAGCCCCCCACAAGACTGAAACACCAGCACTGGCGTCCTGTGGGGAGGGGAGGCTCTGAGCCTCCCCACTAGATCTGGCATGCGGGGAACAAATGGAGCCAAAAATGGCTCCATACACGCTGCCCTTTTCCTTCTCCTGGGACACATACACTTCCTGGAGGCTTTCCTTATGAATCCTTCATAGAGGCTACCTTCTGGTGAATGGGAGCAGCGGGAGGCCGTATTACACGGTGCCTGTGATGCAGTGTGAAAATAAGTAAGTGCTCCCCCACTCCCTCATGCCCAGACTCCACATCCCCACTCTCTCACTTACCCTCCTGGCCAGACAGACCACCCCTTGGCCAGACAGCCTGCCCCCAGCCTGCTCCTGCCCCAGACCAGACACCCTGTCCCCTGGACAGACACCCTGCCCCCAGCCCACTTCTGCTCCCTCTTGCCTGGCCAGACAGCCTGTCCCCAGCCCACTCCTGCCCACTGCCCAGTCAGCCTCTCCCGAGCCTGCTCCTGGCCCCTTACTCCAGCCAGACTCCCTACTCCCAACCTGTTCCTGCACCCTACCTCCACCCACACCTCGCACTCGCATCCACTCCTGCACCCCACTCCCACCCAGATCCTGCATCCCCATCTCTATCCCATTCACTGGCAGCCCTATCCCGCACAATTAACCCCTCATTTCTGGCCCTACCCCAGGACCTATGGAGCCCACAAAATCCACTAACCCTAGAATCCCAGAAGAATAAATCTGGCCTGAGGCCTTGAACCTCAGTCCTCCCTGCCCCTCCCACCACACTGGGGCTGGACCACCAGGGGAGTTAGGAGTTGGGGGTTTCTGGAGGGGTTTTTTTTTTTTGGTTTTTGGTCGCGGCGTCATAACACTCCAGCACCACCCCACACACCAACTCTGAGCCCATCGTACACTTGAATCTCCTGCCCTGAACCCATCATACCCCAACATCCCCAGACTTCTGCATTCCACAACCCCAGTTCGCTGCCATAACACACCTGCACTCCCATACACCCTGAGTCCATCATATACCCAAATCCCCTGCCCTGAGCCCCTCATACATCCCAATCCAGACTCCTGCACCTCCACATCCTCAGCGCTCTGCCTAAGACTGACAAAAGATAGCCTGACTATGAAAACATGCAGCAGCAGAAGTCCCATTAAATAAAGTCAGTGTGTACAATGTTTCATTCATGTTATCAAATGAAGGGATCTACAGGTCATAGTACCACAAGCTAAATATGAGTCAACAGTGTGACACTGGTGCAAAAAAAGCAAACATGATTCTGGGATGCATTAAAACAGGAGTTTTGTGATCAAGACACAAGAAGTCATTCTTCTACTCTATTCTGCACTGATTAGGCCTCAATTGGAGTATTGTGTCCAGTTCTGGGCCCCACATTTCAAGAAAGATGTGGAGAAAATGGAGAAGGCCCAGAGAAGAGAAATACAAATTATTAAAGGTCTAGAACACATGAGCTATGAGGGAAGGCTGAAGGAATTGGGCTTGTTTAGTTTGGAAATGAGAAGACTGAGAGGGGACATGACAGCGGTTTTCAAGTATCTAAAAGGGTGTCAAAAGGGCGGGGGGGAAGGGAAGGAGGGGAGGATTGTTCTCCTTGGCCTCTGAGGATCGGACAAGAAGCAATGGGATTAAACTGTAGCAAGGGAGGTTTAGGTTGGACATTAGGAATAACTCCCTAACTGTCAGGGTGGTTAAAAACTGGAATAAATTGGTTAGGGAGGTTGTGGAATCTCCATCAACTGGAGATACTTACGGGCATGTTAGACAGACATCCATCAAGGGTGAGCTAGAGGGTGCTTGGTCCTGTGGTGAGGGCAGGGGACTGGACCTGATAATCTCTTGAAGTCCCTTCCAGTTTTAGTATTTAATTATTAATCATTATGTCAATTATCAATAATATTAAGTTGTATATTTTCAGTCATGCAAATGGGCATTCTTATATGGCTCTTTGTTGATCACTTGTCCTGAATTTTGATCGAGTTTGGCTCTTTGGTTTGAAAAGGTTGCCAATCCCTGCATTAGAGTATCTTTTTCCATTAAATAAATATTACAGGAGCCTGTCAACAGGTGATTCATAAGCAGAAGGAAGGAGGGCAATCAAGAAATCCTAAATATCCAAGACCACATCTGAGCAGAATTAAATGTACTCTATACATAGCTTCTGGCATTTCAATTGCCCATGTTAGTTACAAAGGTATTGACTGTTCTCCATCATTTTCATATTATCCCAGCTAGCGTGTTGTCATTTTATGGTACAATGGAAAAGTGGTTTTAAAAAACTGAAGAGAAATCTCACCTGCAGAGGCACCAGAGGACAAACCCGAGTCCACAGTAAGGGTCCAAACAGATAGCTACTTCTCTAGAGGGATAAAGCTCACACTGCAGCTTAATAGAACGGCAAAAGGCACTAGTGGCTGCATGGGACATCTGGGAGACAAGACAATAATTCAAATTATGGACTATGTCAATCTGCAGGTTTATTCCCAAACCACTGCTATTCCGTAAATCAGGAACAGAATGAAGGAAACAAATTCATATTAAACTTTGTACTCCGCATGAACACTTATTTCAGCATTTTCACCTAAAATAAGTTCATTTTCTTTCAAGAGGTCATCCAAATAACCAGTCAAAGAAAAGGAAGATAGAGCATCATAAGTTGAATAGGTAGGACATGGTCATGAGTGGCTCCAGATGCTCTCGAAATGATATTGAAAGCTAAGAAGAATAATCAAGATGGTAGAATTTTTATATAACAACAGCATAAGCAAAATAAAAGTATCATTTTGAATTTCTGTTAATCAGTAACACGCCCTCCAATTCTTAAACTCATAGCATAAAAATTGTAGACTCTTCTAGACTAAAATAAAATATGATTGTATGTGTGCTCAGTTCATTTTGTTACCTACAAAAGAACATTTGTTTTTAGTGTGAAATTCCTACCTTTACTCCCGCTAGCATTCCAGTTGTGGACACACTAAAATCAAGATAAGCCAGTGTGTCAGGGTTAGAAGGTTTGTAGATTTGAGCAGGCCGCTTCTTTGGCAAGTCATCTAGAATAAATAAAAAATGGAAACATGTGGCATCTTAATAAGATGCAATCCACTACACGGATCTCTGAACCATGATAAGTTCAGCTGTAAAACAAAACAGGGCAGCTCTGGCTTTAATACTTACTTACCTGTATCTAGTACAGGAGGCCACGTTCTGACATCCACTGCTGCTGCTGCCTCTCGTGACCGTAACAATTTACATATTAATTGTGTAGTCATTAAACAGGCAGAGCGACTCACCTGGGAATTTAACAAATAAAACAAATAGAACACTAATTACTTCACATGAAAAACTGAGTAAGACCACGATTTATATTACAACAGGATATGTATGTGAGTTTGCCAGCTTATTTCCTGTAATTAGGAGAAAAGAACTTATGTCCCAAAAGGCAGACCCCTGAAATTTCAAAGGGTATACAAGAATTTTTCAAGAGTAAGCAATAATTGCACTTTGCTGCAAATTTTGACATTGAAGTTAATGGTGTATTAATAGGGAAAAACTGAACTTTTTCTACTCAACTTCATCATCCCGAGAAACCTATAGCAAAAATCATGACAAGAATATTCCCTAAATGAAGGCAATACATGCTTGTTTTATATAAATATTTTAATAAAATGAAAATCCAGCTTTACACTTACAATCTCCAGTGGTTTCAACCTATAATAGCTGAGTGCTAGCCATGTACTCATGATTTCTCGACTAACTCAAACAAACACGATTCTCTGCAGGACCACTAGAGACTTAACATGGGTTGTATTTCAGAAAGTTCTGGTATTTCAAACTGTTGCTCCAGACCAGTTATTTCTCAAGTGACACAGTCAGTTTACCATCTCATCTTTGCCAACATTCAACTATAGGCTCTAGTGGATTTTAGATTTACATATGTTGGGAATTACTCTGTATTTGAGAATGGGGAGTTATTTTACCAAATACATTACATAAAGTGTAGCAATACTAGAAAGCAGGATGCTGTTTGAAAAGGTATTTAATAAAGTATATTTAAACAAAACTAATACATTGCTGAATATTTTAAAGCACAGCACAGGAATAATTCAAAACAAAACACTTTCCTTTCTTTACCACTCTTTCAGGGTCAGCGAAGAGAAGTCAGTCAGTGAAAGCATTCGTAATGAACGTATTCCTGGTGGAATCTGAGACACTTTTGGTTCCACACCTTAAGTTATTATCCCCAACAGCTGTGCAAAGTGACAACCATTCCATTCACTACCGTCAATACTATTAACAGAACTGACATTCTTATTCAGGCTTCCAGCATAGAGAAAAAGGTGATTTTAGAACCCCAAACAGAGATTTACTCATTGAGAGTTACTCCAGCATTGAACTGAGTACAAATACTGTTGCATTTCAGTCTCAAAGACAGTTTAGAGCTACACACTGGAACATTTAACGCCCACTTTTTGAAGAAATCACTCCACGAACCCCGTATTTTCAGCCTTTTATGCAAAAAGCTTTACCACATGAGATAAGGAATGAATAGCTTTCAGAAGAAATGATACTGATATAAAGATGGATTGCGTCCCTTAGATCCGCAGTCATGGTATTCAGAGAGAAGTCTGATTTGTCTTCTGTACCCCCAAATTTCACCTCACTTAAAAACTACTTGCTTACAAAATCAGACATAAAAATACAAAAGCGTCACACCATACTACACTGAAAATTGCTTATTTTCTCATTTTAGCCATATAATTATAAATCAACTGAAATACAGTATAAATCTTATACTTACATTTTAGCGTATAATATTTTGAGAAGTACAAGCAAGTCACTGTATGAAATTTTAGTTTGTACTGACTTCACTAGTGCTTTTTAGGAGCCTGTTGTAAAAGTAGGCAAATATCTAGAATTGATTTTCTCACTGTAAGACCTCTCCTACTAGCGTACAGCTGGGTAAGAACAAGGCCAACAGCATGTGCATGTGGGGAAGAAAGTCCAGTGCATGTAGACTCTTCCACCTTCTAAGATCTCATGAATTCTCTCAAGGGGTATGTCTACACAGCAAAGTTATTTTGAAATAACAACCATTATTTCGAAATAACTTTACTATCATCTACATAGCCAAACCGCTATTTCGAAATAGCGGAGTGCTTATTTTGAATTTGGTAAACCTCATTCCACAAGGAATAACGCCAAATTCGAAATTTCTATTTTGAAATAAGTGCTGTGTAGACACTTATTTCGAATTAGGGGGCCTCCGGCATTCCCAGGGTGCCCTGGTGGCCACTCCAGCATCAACCAAGAACACTCTTCAATGTTCTCTGAAATATCTGTCTCCTCAGCCCAATTTTCTTGATACCTTCCAACAGGGAACTCTGAGGACGCCAGCAAGCCACTGGCAGCCAGGCCTAGACTGCGCCCCAGGAGCAGTCTGCCAGCTCCCAGGAGCCTGCCAGGGCCCAGAGAAGGCAGACACCTTCCTGGTCCAGGGCGGAGATCAGGGTGGACTGTACTCAGGTTTGGGGGGATGCTAGATGGAGGAACATGGCTGTCTATGGCAGGATAGCTGCCAGCCTGGCCACTAAAGGCCACATGCGAACCCAGGAGCAGGATTGCATGAAAATCAAATTGGTCTAGTGAGACCCCCCCAACCCTGAGCTTCCCCTCCCACTTCTTCCCTTTGCTTCCACCTTCCAGATTCCTCCTCCCAGGTTTCACGCTTCCCTCTACCACCCTCTCTTCTCCCCTCTCCCACCTCCCTTCCCCAGTCTCACCAGAGTTTCACTTTCCTTCCCCCAGTTTTTTTAAATAAAGAGAGTTTGTGTTTATGAAAATATGTGTATTTTATTTGACATTAGGAAGGGGGGCTTAGGGAGGGGTAAGTGGAAGGATGTGAGGGAAGAATGAGGCACAAGCCCCCAGTGGGGCAGACCAGGTAGGCTCTCAGTGCTCCTCAGGTGGAAGCTCTCCTGCAGGGCCTCCTGGATACTGACAGCCCCCCGATGGACCTCCCAGATGGCAGCCTGCAGAAAGTGCAGCCAGGCTCACAGCAACGCGTCCAGGAGAAGCACCAGAGTGCCCAGGGGCAGCTCCGGCTCCATTTTGCAGAGTGCTGTGATATCCCAAGTGAGGGCAACCAGAGCACGCAGAGACAAAATGCTTTGCTGTCCCTCATCGAGGTAGGCAAGCAAGCAGGGAAAGCTGAGAACTGGCTGTCCGGGGGGGTCCCTTTAAGCACAGGCCTCAGACAGTCTCACGCAGCAGCCACACAAAGTAACTCTTGACCTGATGCCCTGCTGGACCTGGTTCCGGCTAGCCTTAAATGTGATTCAGAGTCCACTCAGTGTGGACACGCTATTTTGAAATAGCAAAACACTATTTTGAAATGCATTTTGTGTGTAGACGCTTTATTTTGAAATAACTTATTTTGAATTAATTATTTTAAAATAAGATATTTAGAAATAACGCTGTAGTGTAGACATACCCTCTGAGAGTATCAATGCAGGCTCTGAGTGGAGAGGGTAGCGGCAAGACTCCTAAAAGAACCACTCACTCAAAACAGCATACAGTATTCTAAGCCAAGATAACGTTCACTTACTCAGTACTACCTTGCATAGGCTGGGCCAAAACACAAGCACTGAATGAGGGACCATTGAAGGGCAGCTGGGTATTTCAGGAACTGTGTTATGTTAGCCAAGACACTCAGGAATGAGTGCAGGAGCTCTGACCCTCGAGGGTGTCCCAGGCTAACTCCCTGATGGCAAGTCTACATAGCAGGAAAAAAGTCGAATTAAGCTACGCAACTTGACCTACGTCAATTGCATGGCTTAATTCAAAGTAGCTTAATTTGGCTTCTGGTGCTGTCTACAGAGCAGGAAGTAGAAGAACAACACTCTTCCTTCGACTTCCCTTATTCCTCATAAAATGAGTATTACAGGAGCCAAAGTAAGAAGTCCTCCAGCTCAACATTATTTCAAAATAATGGCTTGCAGTGTAGATACGCTCTCTGTTGTTTCAGAATAACATCAGTTATTCTGCTGTGTAGACATAGCCTGAGAAATGTACAGCAAACCCATCTCCACTTCCTCTTAGCCTGCCTGCATTTCCACCATCCTATTACTGCACAGTCTGTTCCACAGACTTTTAGACCTCTAGCCACAATACAGTTAGATCACAATACGGTTTGATTTCTTTGACTACTGCCTGGGCATCGGCAAAGCACAGTTCTAAGGGACGAATTGCACTCTCAGATGCAACTGCCATTTTCTTAAAAAGGAGTTGAATTGACGGTACTAGACAGACAAAATTTTTCCTTACTACGGTAGCAACACAGCAGAATACTGGCAACAGCCTCAATATTTTCATCTCCTCAAGGTCATTCCTCTTCAAAATGAGAGGAATCTTGGTGAAACAGAGCTGGACAGGCCTCTGATTCAAAGTGTCATTAGTAGGGCTTGCAATTTTTCAATTTTTTATTTTAAAAGTTAGTCTGCTGAAAAGAGCTAAATGATTATGAGACAGCTTAGGTCCCGCTGAAAGCTTGCCAGACATGCCCTAGCAGCCCAGCTTGACTATCAGAAACTGAGAGATCACTGAAGTGTTATTACATATGTTCAGTCTTAAAACATCTTGAGAGAACACAAGACCATCAGTAACATAAATAATAATGGTGCCATTAATCTGCTGATAACAGGCCACAGTCTATTCCTATTGAGTGGCATCCTACTTTGTAAGTGGTCCCATTAATTTCAAGCCCTGCAAATCTGTGGAAATCTGCAGACTATGTTTGTAGATTGCAGATGAATGCTGATCCAAATTTTATACACAGAGGCCTGCAAATCTGTGGGCATCTGCTTGTATTCTGGGACCAAGTTAGTGGATGATAGATCAGATGTAGATACAGTACAGCTTTTGTATACACAGGGCTCTACAAATGGGATTGCTTGTCAGAGTTAGAGAACTAGATTGTTATTTAATAACACAGAAAAACAACATCAGAAATACGAGGCCGGTCCATGCACTCTTCTTCCTGAAACAGTATGGTCAATGCATTTATATCACTGCAACAAAGGTCAAAAATTGAACCAAAAGACAGACAAAAAAAATCCATGTCCTTCCTCTCAGGTAAAAGCTTGGATACAATGTAACTTCTAAACTGTTACTGCCCAGTCAGTTAAAAACAGGGATGAGGGACCTGGGGCTAGATGTGGCCCCCAGCTTGCCTGGATCCAGCCCCTGAGGCTCAGGGTCTCCCCCAGCATTGGCACTCCAGCTCTTCCCCCACCCATAAGATGGACCCCCGCCCTCCAGGCTCTGGTATGGGAGGGGGAATATTGGGAGTGTCTTTCTTTTCAGCCAGTGAGGGCTTTTTTTGCTTCTCACTTGTGTGTTGCCCCTGAACTGATTTTTCAGCGGCCCCCAACCCCCAAAACGTTTCCCACCCCTGGTTTAAAAGCTGCTAACTCAACTCAAACCAGGGGAGCCGACAGCCTCTGTGGGCAAGATGTAGGGGAGGGAGCTCTGTGCCCCCAAAGGGCGTGGCCTCGGGCAGAAGGGGCAGGGATGGGGCAGCCAGCCCTCAGTCCTGCCCGGACCACAGTGCACCCTCCCCCCGCAGCCCTCACAGCCTCCCAGAGCACACAGTGCAGCATTCCCATCTCCTCAGGCAGCCTTAAGAGGCCTGGAGTGGACTCCATGGCACTCTAGTTGTGATTTAAAGGACCTGAGGCTCAGGCTGATGCCGTTGCTGTAGGCCCCTTTAAATGGCTAGACCTGAGTTTAACTGTTCAACCTGAAACAGTTGAGCTAAGACAGTGCAAATAATAATACCAGGAATCCTGAGATACCTGCTTCAGAGTCATATACTGGAAAACATATCTACACAGATCTTTGAAAGAAGTGGTGTAAGTGTTCTCTCATCTGACTGTTGCAGTGTGGAGGTTGTGTGCTTTCAAGCAGTTTTAGCGTTCTCTAACCCCCTTGACTTTGTGGTACTGTATAGGATCAGGTCCTACAACATGAAGTATGAACCCACGTTATAAAACCTGTAGTCTTTTGCTAACTTTGATGAAAAAACTTCTGAAGAGTCCTTTAGTTTTCTATATTTAGCCCACTGCCTGCTTAAATGGCTTGTAGATTTCCAGATGTCTGCTCACCTCCACAATCATTTTCACTGTAGGTAATGTTGTTGCAATGTTCTGTGGATGCGGAGGTCGAACTGTTATTGGCACACAGCCCGCATACAGGCAACCATAAAATGCAGCAATCAGGTCAATTCCTGCATGAAGAACAAAACAAGAATCCTCACTTGAAAAATCAAATAATTAAATCACAGATATCCATGTCAGCATAAATGCTACTTTGAAGTAACTTAGAAGGTTAAATGAGCAACTTTATCTCTTTAACAGACTTCTTGTCAGTATTTGTTGAGCTTCACTGATTACTTTCATTTGTGCGGTTCTTTTATGCGTGAAATACCAAAGAAAGCCCCAAAGTCTAAACTACATGTCATCATTCAAATGAACTGTTCAGTTTTATTAACACCAACTTACCAGTTAAGAAATGTAATTACTGTTGATTAAATAAACTGCACAGTTTAAATTTACACACAAACCAGCATTTTAAAGAAGAATTTCAACACAATGAAGTTTGTGTTTTTCACTACTCTTGTGTGCTGTATAAGTAGAATCTCAAAGTTTCATTTAAAATTACTTTCAGCTTCCTTCCCACCCTGTTTTTTTAAGACATATATCTGTGACTTATTTTTCCAAAGTCCTCTAACAAAAACAGCACAGACAGAACTTTTAGGGGAGGTCACTCTGGGGTAGAGCATGCAAATTCTTCACCTGGTGGATAGACCAAAGCCACGTGGTCTCCATCTTGTAAATGTCCCCTTTCCACCAGCATGACTGCTATCTTCTCAGCTCGTTTATGTAGCTGGGCACAAGTTAGGGAGTTGGCTATTGTTCCCTGCATATTGAAATAAGTTAGTGTCAGAAGGATAGGTTGTGGGTTGAGTTTGAGTATTTCTTCCCAAATTGGTAAGTTACTGACTGAAGGCTTTCTTCAGGATGTATTTAAAAAAAACACACACACAGAGGGAGAGAAAAAGTCAATAACTATGAAGTTTAACTATGAAAACCTTCAGTTTCATGCCAAATTGCAGCTGGAAAAAATTCAAGGATATGACTACATCCCACCTCCCATCTCTTCACACTCCACCCAAAGCTGTGATTGAATCACTACCCTTATGGAAATATCAGTTACAATGAAGTATGCCCATATAACCAGCACTGCTTCCCTTTGTTACACATGCTCTGCTCCCACATACATTCAGGAAAGTGCATTTTTACAAGAATTCTGTGGTACTCTGACACATTAGGATCTGTCTACGGTGAAAATAAAAACACCCACAGCAGCAAGTCTCAGCGCCCGAGTCAACCAACTTAGGCCCATAGGGTTTGCACTAGAGAGCTAAAAATAAGAGCTCAATCATTTTGCTGGGGCTCCGAAACCTGGTAAAAGGAGAGGGAGGCTCAGAGCCCTGGCTCCAGCCCAAGCACAAATGTTTGCTCTGCCTGTAGCACGATCATATATTAGTTGACCTGGACTCAGACTCAATGCTGGGTGTTTTTTGTTTTTGTTTTTGCAGTGTACACATAACCAGAGTCTGAGAGGAATATTCTGTAAACTTCACTGTCTGCATGCTGGAAGGAAGCCAGATGGCACATTAGAAGTACTTATTAGAAGACAAGAGACACAATCCAGAAGAGAAGAAAACACATGTGAGGGGGAAAGAGATATGTTAGGAACAAAGATACACGTTAAACCAAATAAGAAAGAAACAAAGGTTTTTTTTGCACATGGGTAACAGACTAGACAAGTGGGATGGGGGAAGATAGCTCAGGAACAGATAATAAGCTATATAGTCTCTCACCTGAACAATCGACCTATTCTTACAGAAGTTAACTTTGGGTCACTACTCACATGGGGGCAGATAGCCCTTAAGTCTGATCACCACCACCACCATGTACACCCTGGCTTGGAGTCTCAGCAGAGATCCAACAGTGAACAACAAAGAGACTGAATTTCCCTGGAGGTGATTTTTCTAGGCCTGGACTGAGATAAATTGATGGGACAGCATAGGGAAGACCTGCACAGCTATCGCCTATGTTGTACCTATTCTTTGGAGAAAGAGGGTTTCAGTCTCCAGTACTGTCATATGTGGCCCCTTTCACAAGCACTAATTTCACTTAAAAAACCAGACAAACTGAAGAAATTGAGAAAAAAAAAAGTGGTAAGGAAACATTTACATTTCAGGCTTCTACTGGATTATAACATGAGCAAGAGTCAACATGGCCTGTAAAAATATCCTTTCACATAAGAACGGCCGTACTGGGTCAGACCAAAGGTCCATCTAGCCCAGTATCCTGTCTGCCAACAGTGGCCAGCACCAGGTGCCCCAGAGAGGGTGGACCAAAGACAATGATCAAGCGATTTGTCTCCTGCCATCCCTCTCCAGCCTCTAACAAACAGAGGCCAAGGACACCATTTTATCCCCAGGCTAATAGCCTTTTATGCACCTAACCTCAATGAAATTATCTAGCTTCTCTTTAAACTCTATTATAGTTCTAGCCTTCACAGCCTCCTCTGGCAAGGAGTTCCAAAGGTTGACAACACGCTGTGTGAAGAAGAACTTTCTTTTATTCGTTTTAAACCTGCTACCCATTAATTTCATTTGGTGTCCTCTAGTTCTTCTATTATGGGAACTAATAAATAACTTTTCTTTATCAGCCCTCTCCACACCACTCATGATTTTATAGACCTCTATCATATCCCCCCTCAGTCTCCTCTTTTCTAAACTGAAAAGTCCCAGTCGCTTTAACCTCTCCTCATATGGGACCCGTTCCAAACCCCTAATCATTTTAGTTGCCCTTTTCTGAACCCTTTCCAAGGCCAAAATATCTTTTTTGAGGTGAGGAGACCACATCTGTACACAGTATTCAAGATGTGGGCGTACCATAGTTTTATACAGGGGCAGTAAGATATTCTGGGTCTTATTTTCTATCCCTTTCCTAATAATTCCTAGCATCCTATTTGCCTTTTTGACCGCCGCTGCACTCTGTGTGGAAGTTTTCAGAGAACTGTCCACGAAAAATCCAAGGTGTCTTTCCTGATTTGTCGTAGCCAAATTAGCCCCATTATACTGTACGTATAGTTGGGGTTATTTTTCCCAATGTGCATTACTTTACACTTATCCACATTACATTTCATTTGCCATTTTGTTGCCCAATCACTCAGTTTGGTGAGATCTTCTTGGAGTCCCTCACAGTCTGCTTCTGTCTTGACTATCCTAAACAGTTTGGTATCATCTGCAAACTTTACCACCTCACTGCTTACCTCTTTCTCCAGATCATTTATGAATAAGTTGAACATGATAGGTCCCAGGACTGACCCTTGGGGGACACCACTAGTTACCCCTCTCCATTCTGAAAATTTACCATTTATTCCTACCCTTTGTTTCCTGTCTTTTAACCAGTTCTCAATCCAAGACAGGCAAAGCATGTTAATGTCTGATTTCAATCATCTGATTTAGGCAGTTTGGGGGAATGTGGTCAATAGAATGATGAATTTGCTTCTTACTGTCTTAAGATAAAACAGGGTTATATTCTATCTGGACTACATAGTTGCAGCTTGATCTGGTAAGCTTTCTATTTGCCACAGGTAACAAATTAAAGCTACCTCACCATTTGTTGTAAAGTTGCAAACTGTGACTTTGATTCTTATCTGCTTCATTTTAACTACCCAATCTTCAGATACTTACTGGTGCTCTCTGTCTCCCATCCCCTTCCATTTTTCCTTCCCTCCCCGTCTCCTTTCCTATTTATTTTAGGTGTACACATCCTAAACTAATAACTCCGGTCATCTGAAAAAGTGGGCTGTGCCCATGAAAGCTCATGATACCATCTACATGTTTTGTTAGTCTATAAAGTGCCACCAGACCATTTGTTGGTTTTTTATAACCCTGCTAGTTAGCCAAAGAAAAATAAGCAAGATTAAGGGGGGTCATTCTAATCCTGAACACCATTTTGATACCAATATAACAGACAGAAGGACATGTAAAAATGTTGGGCAGAGATCTAGTATATACACCAATCATAATTTTCTAATCCTAGAAATCCTCAAATTTTATACTTATATAGACCAATATAGTTCTGTGACAGAAGCATAAGTTCTAATTTTGATAAGTAAATGTTTTAAAAATAAACCATACTCATAAGCATGCAGATTAACTTTCTCCCTGCATCTCCCCCTCCTCCATTTTCCTTGTAAGACCTAAGCTCACAGCCAAGATGCACTATTTTAGCTAAGGAAGAATTTATGGTCTCAGGACAGTAGGAACGATTCCTTTAACTGGGCAGAAAGGCTGTTGAGCAACATCAAGAACTATGCCTCTCCATACTGGTATGAAAATATTCTGCCTATCAACACACCTGGCAATTGAGAATGCATTGGTTAGAACTATACAAAGCTGGGTATGCCACATAGCATAGAGTACACATTTGAGAGCTATTTGTGATAACTATCTGTTCCTCTCCCATGAGTGAGTGGTAAATACAGCAGCTAAGAAATGTAGAGAGAAATATATAAAGAGCCACATTCAGTTTTGTGGCTGCAAGCAGATGCAGTTTGTCTCTTAGGCTACGTCTAGACTGCAAGCCTCTTTCGAAAGAGCCTCTTTCGAAAGAGAGCGTCTAGACTGCATGCGGAACTTTTGAAAGAGCAAGCCGCTTTTTCGAAAGAAAGCACCCAGTGAGTCTGGATGCTCTCTTTTGAAGAAGCCCTATTTACATTCAAGAACGCCTTCTTTCGAAAGAAGCACTTTTGAAAGAAGGTGTTCTTCCTCGTGAAATGAGGTTTACCGCCGTCGAAAGAAAAGCCGCGTTCTTTCGATTTAATTTCGAAAGAACGCGGCTGCAGTCTAGACGCATGTGAAGTTTTTTCGGAAAAAGGCTACTTTTCCCGAAAAAACCCCTGAGTCTGGACACAGCCCTGGTGTTCATTTCTCTACAAGGTAAACCGTTAAAGTAATCGCCTGAATTTCTTACCCTACAATTAAGCAGCGTGTAAAGCACATGGTCAGGAGTCGTTTGAGCTCTCCACTGTAAAACTTCTGAGAGGAATAGGAACTAAAACAAAACAGAATGATAATCACAATACTTAATGGATTTTACTCAGTTTTCTTAAAAATAGGAAGCAATTTCTTATTTTCACTTTGTACATCCCATTTATATGTTCATACATCAATATCAATAACTAGTAAACTGCTGAACACTAGATCTCAGCATTCAACAGTGACCCTCAGCATCATTCATCAGTAGGGCTACATAAACTTGCTGCACTGATCTGTTTAGAAATCTAAGCTAACTGTCTGAAGTATGACTTACTGTACTTTCAAAGCAATAAGTTGGTTCTGAATGGTATTTCTGAATCTAAGCATGGTTCTAGTTTCATAGTTATTTCTAACTCTCCTCCTTCTCTAACTTACATTTAAAAAATCCTAATGTTTGTATTTTTGCCAGCTTACAATAACTACCTATCTTTTTTATGGTTGCAGAAGTGTTAACTGGCTAATTAACCTTGAACAGCCTTTTACAACATGGATTCATTACATATGCTAAACAATCTGTTCTATCTTCTGTTTAGCTATCACACTCTGTGACATAAAGAAGAGCTCCATATAAGCTCAAAAACTTGTCTCTTTTACCAACATAAGTAGGTCCAATAAAAGACATTACCTCACCCAACTTGTCTCTCTAATAATTACTTCTCTCCTCTCTGTGAAGACCAGAGTGGAAATGTAATACATTTAACATAACTTAAATAACAAAACTCAAGATCAACAGCATACCTACCAAATGAACTTCCTAGATTTCACCTGAAATAATAAAAATTCAGTACAGGACAACTTATAATAGACACACTAGAAAGTGTACACATCAGATAGTATACTGATCAAAATTCAAATTTCTAAATTAAAGTAGACATATAAAAATGTAGGAAATTCCTTCTCCTTATGTATTCTAGAACTCAAATTTTTATTCCAACAAAGCCAATAAATATGAAATAACAATACAGAAAAGTGAAGCTATTTGCAAGAGTTTGGATACTGAATTTAAGTAAAAGACAAGCTGTATTTGAAAAGATTTAACTTACTTTTCTGGCCTGATCATTGTCTTCTATCTGTCCCAGATCTCTGCCACTAGCCTGAGCAATTCTTTTTCCAGAGACCAGGTTCCCCACCATCACAGAGGCAGGCCCAATTTCTAGAATGTATTAGAAAAGAGCTAAATACAATAACATTATTGGGCTTACAGTTAAGAATTTTCATGATCTCTTCTCTTGCAGCAGGGGACATTTTCCCATGACTAACTTCAGTGCACAACTTTGTGAGAATATCCTAACAATTGAGCCTGTGTTTAAGACGTGTGAATTGCAAAAAACAGAAAAGCCATGAAAATCATGAAGTCTCATGTATTTCCAAAGACATCCATTGATGAAACAACAAGTATATAGTTTTAAAATTATATATTTTTTTCAAACTATGGTCAATGGTCCAATTGCGGCCTGCAGAAGTGTGGCCACTACATATTTCTAGTTCTCTTCCTTGTTTTCAGCTAGTAAGCTATCCTAGAAAAATCTAAAATGCATTAATATTTGAGGGAGGAGGGCGCATGGTGCAGCCCCAGCCTTGGAGCACCAGAGGAAGGAGAAGGGCTGCACAGAGTGGCTTCAGCCTTCCCAGCACCGGGGAGGGAAGAGACCACGTGGCTCCAGCCTCCACAACCCAGAACACAGGGAGGACGGGCACTGGGGACAGCAACACTCTGCTCCAAGAATGCCTACAGCAGGTGTTCTGGGGGCGGAGTGTGGGCGGGCTATGCCTGGAGTTTTGGGAAGGCAAAAGCCTTCCTCCGCCTACGCTACCGGACACCCATGGGTAGATGGTTCATACTATGAAAGTTTGAGACACCCATGATTATTAAATAGACTGGAGAAAGTAAAATCAAGTTTACAAGAAAGAAATGTACCACCACTAACATCTCACATACAAGCTGACATTATGTCTACTATTGCAAATTGGAGCATATTCTGATAAATATTACCACTGCAATTACCATATTAGTGATTGCACTTTCTGCTTTTAGGTGTGATTGCTGATGAAGTATCATGTGCATCAAGCTTAGACCTGCCCAGAATTTGCCAACAGAGTCAAAAACATACCAATATTTATGTTGGAATATGCACTATGACTTAGTTATCCTGTATGAAAAACAAAAAAAATACCCCCAGAGATCACCTCTCCTCCTGGAAGCTCCTTTACCATCTGCAAAGACTGAACACATCACATCCAAACAAAACCCACAGTTTAGGGCTGCGTGTAGACTGGCATGATTTTGCGGAAATACTTTTAACGGAAAAGTTTTTGTGTTAAAAGTATTTCCGCAAAAGAGCATCTAGATTGGCATGGATGCTTTTGCGCAAAAGCATCCGTGTCCAGTATAGACGCGCTTTTAGCCACTGGGCTTTCTTGCGCAAAAAATTAAGGGTCCTGTCTACACTGGCCCTCTTGCGCAAGTATTCTTGCACAAGAGGGCTTTTTCTCGAGCGGGAGCGTGAAAGTATTTGCGCAAGAAGCACTGATTTTATACATTACAAAATCAGTGCTCTTGCGCAAATTCAAGTGGCCAGCGTAGACAGCTGGCAAGTTTTTGCGCAAAAGCACCTGCTTTTGCGCAAATCTTGCCAGTCTAGACGCATCCACAGTGTTTAACTTAGTGGGGACGTGGCAACATGAGTCTGCCAGAGTGTCACAGCTAGCCAACATCTCCTATTGCTATCATTTTCTCGACAAGCCATTATCAGTCTCTGACACTTCCTTTTTATAATGTCTCTGCAAGGTTATAATGCCTTTCTTTGAGTTCTCAAGTGTTTGTCTAAGAGTGTCAAATCAGAGAAACAAGGGAACTGTTACTACAAAATATACTCTAGGTTCTATAATAGATGATACCTAAGTTTCAGGCACTGAAGAAGAAAACATGTCAGATGCCCCCATGGTATTTTGTTCAAGCAAACCATAGCCACAGGTCCAGACAGGCCTCCAACTATGTGAGTTCAAAATATGGATTCAGATTAAATTTTGCAGGATAGACATATCCCTGTTAGTGAGGTGACAGGTTATTGGGCTTGAGCCAACAGACTATTTATTCAACCCAAAGTCTGTCTATATTTCATACTGTAGTCTATTGTAGAGACATTCTCAATACAAGTTCGTTTTTTTTTTGGGAAGGGGGAGAAAAGTACTCTTACAAATTATCTCAGAGGGGTAGCCATGTTAGCCTGTAACTAAAAATGGTGAGTAGTCCTGTGACACCTTAGAAACTAACAAAAATATATATAGTATCTATCATGAGTTTTCGTGGGCAAAACTCACTTCTTCAGATGAGCTAGAAGTCTCTAAGCCCTGGTCTACACGAGGGAGTTATTTCAAAATAACCCCCTATATTTCGAAATAATAAGCGGAGCGTCCACACTACCAGGCCTGTTATTTCAAAATAATAGGCTGGTTATTTTAAAATCTGTCTTGCTTTTCTTGGGAAATAAGCTTATTTTGAAATACTTCTTTTGGGAGTTATTATTTTGAATTTAGCTTTTTTCAATATAATTTCCTAGTGCGGACATGCCACAAGGTGCCACGGGACTATTCATCTTACAAATTATATAGCTGACTTTGCAAGGGGCTGAGCATCATTAGCTCCCATTCACATTATCACATATAGCACTACAAAACAGAAAATACTAACAGATTATGCCCCTTTTCAGCTTACCTGGCTGTTTTTGTCGGGGTTTAGGCAGGTTTGTTACACAGGTGTGTGGGCACATCAATACATTACAGGGATGCAATGAGCCTTCCAAAAAAAGTTGTTTGGTTTCTGATAAGTGTATGCCACCTAAAGGGGTCTTCGGGAGCGTGTTTGCTGGTACCAAAGCTAAGCAGTAAACACCCACTTGATGGATACTGTCAATAGCCTAGAAAAATTGAAGCTGAAGTTAATGAAGTAAAGCTAATCACTGCACTTGTTAGCACTACAGTATTCATTAGGTTTTCTAAACTTCTGCAGAAGCAACCTGGCAATTACCTGCTACAGTAAACGCACTTTTCAGCATTATCAGAGGAGGAGAGGTACTCTTCACTGAGGGCATTCGAAAGCAAATTTACTTCACCATTGGTTATAGCCATTAAAAAACCTAGATTGTTAAAAAACAACCCACATAAATAGATGAAAATCAATTTAAGACCCTCATGAATTTCAGGCAAGTTGAGCTAATGTGCCTGGCTCTCTCCATAACCATATGCTAGCAGTAATTCATTACAGGAGGTCTACTAACTAAAGACAGAGTTCACAGGCAAATCTGATTTTAATATGTGTGTGCTTTTAATGCAATTGTTGATAGGGACTCTATCAACTCAAAATCTAATTAGCTTCAGAAAGATCTAAAACCATTGTCAGGTGTCAGTCCTGCATCTAAACTCAGTGTTAACTTATGGAGTTTGTTAAAGATTTTTCCTCTCCCTGATCACTATGGCTACATCTACACTGCACAGTTATTTCAGAATAAGCTATTCTGGACTAGTTATCCCAAAATAGCTTATTTTGAAATAGCATGTCTGCGCTGCTATCTCAATTTACATCCTCAGGAGGAATAACTTAGAATGGCCCTGGTGAGGGGCTATTTCAAAATAGCAGCAGTGGAACATCTACACACCCCTTATTTCAAAATAGCTATTTTGGAATAGGCATTATTCTTCAGAGAATGAGGTTCACAGAAGAAGGACTAAGCCGTCCATTATTTCAAAATTATTTCAAAATAACAGAATTGCTGTGTAGATGCTCACATAGTTATTTCGGAATAAAAGCCATTATTCCAAAATAACTTAGCTGTGTAGACACACTCTAAGTGAAATTATCTTCAAATATGAATGGAAACTGACAAGGTATTCAGGCTGGCTTTCTACCAAGTGCTGTCAGATGCACAAGGTAAAACTGACAAAAACAGAAGTATTCTCTTCTGTAGCCTTTTATTTACAACAACTTTTTAGGTATTGTTTGGGGAAAAAAAGCAGCAATATGTACTTTTTGGAGGAAGGTGTGATTTAAGTTGACTGCATTCCTTTTAAATCAGTTAGGAAGTTTCAGCTCATTGTATTACCTATTTCGATGTCCTCTGTGATGAGATGGCCCAGCCCTTGGAACAGCTGGCTACACTCCGGAATAACTGAAAATTCAGTCTGAATGGAATTATTCTGACAACACAGTAAAGTCTGGCTCCGGAAATGTCTAGTGTATATGACCACTTCATTCTTAACAAATAAATGGGTTTTAGGAGACAAGCAGACTAATCTGCTCAGATGAAACTTGGAGATTACTCAACACCACTTTATCCCACTGAAACACTGTATACAGATGCTTCAAGGGGTAGCTGAGTTAGTAAACTCCAGTCATCTGAAGAAATGGGCTGTGCCCAAAAAGCTCATGATACCATCTACATGTTTTGTTAGTCTATAAAGTGCTACCAGACCATTTGTTGTATATAGGTGGTTGGCCATAAATGATGACAGCTCCGTTGCTCTCCTGGCTGAAGAGGTAGCAAGATAAAAAGAGAGAGAAAAACCCTCTGAAAGGGGTTTGAAGAGGGTCCACACGAGCCTTGAGAGGAGGGTATTGAAGTCTGAGGCAATAACAGGCTCTCTGACAGGCAGGTCCCTGTCCATGGTATTTATAACCAGACAATGTACAGGTGCAGGGACTTGCGGTCTGGATGGAATATCTCCCCATGGTGCTGTAAAATCAGGTCTGGGCAATCAGAGCTGGATCAGCACCTGAATGGACATTTGCAGCAGGCCTGTCAGGCAAAACTGCCTACGCTTCCACAGAACCATGAGAAAGGTCATGGCTTTGTCTCTTTATTTGGGAAATCATCCTTGGGAATCTGTACAAAGGCAAGCTAGGCTTGGACTCCACGCAGAATATGGACAATGAGCCCTTGCTTATATCCCCTCCGGAGCAGAAAGTGACATCCTGGCTTTGCCTTGGGTGGCAAATGGGTCTATTATGGGAACCTGTTCCCTTCCACTTGTGATGGAATATAAGCTCTGTGTAGGGGATACTTGTGGTTGGTCATGGGTTATCTGCTCAGGAAGTCCATCTGCTCATTGCTGACTCTTGAGACACAAAGCACTAGCAGGCTTATCCTTTGTAGATGGCACATGTCCAGAGCTTGACAGCTTCCTAAGAAATGGAAGATCACAAGCATGTGCCTCCTTGTTTGTTGGTATAGTGCATCGGTGTAGTGATCTGCACTGTGGAATACTGAAGAACAGGTCAGAAGGTCACATGAGGTATCTCAATATTGAATACATACAGGAAAGCACAGGAGAAATCTAGCAATGAGGAGTGAAGAGGTAATGGCAAGGAAAATCCTTCGTTCATGAATATAGGAGGATAAGGTGCCAGGGACAGTTTCAATACCAGCTGTCTTTCAGCAATGTTCCCTCTAATTTTTCTATCTGTGTGTGAAATACATTTTATTATGTGCACTAAGCAATGTGAAGATGTGCACCACTGGTAGAAATTCATGCTGCTGGTTGTGGGTGGCTGTGGGAACTCTACTAATCAGCTGAGCAGCACCGTAAATTCTCCTGGTGCACAGTTTATAGGAAACATTACTCTTCAGCACAGGAAGCATTCTTGGAGGTGATCCAGATTCATACAGGGGATATCTGAGGGCCCTTGCTGCGCACCATCACAGATACCAATACTCAGTTTGTTTGTGAGTGTTTCATTCCAGGTCTGATGCTTTACCCCTCAAATAGAGATGATGTGTTTTCCTTCCAGGCCCTCCCATCATGGCTGGAGCTTTGTTTGGTTTCCACCTTGCTTTGAGGGGGCTTCATATTCAGGTACAGACACAGATGCTGTTGCAGTCAGAACGGGGGTACTGCATATGATGTAGCAGTCAGTGTCACAGCTTCCAGGGCAGATGGTGTTACAGTTTCACTGCCACAGATTTCACTAATATGGAGGCAGCTGATGTCAAAGTCACTAATATTGGCTCTGCCAGTGCTCTCTTCACCTTTTTCCAGTGCCTGACCCCAGTGTATGATGTGTGCCTTAGGGAACACTAGCTAATGCCACCGTATTGGATAGTGGCTATCACCTTTGCCTGGAGTGCTCAAGCAGATATGGTTTTAGCTGAGAGTGTCTGGGTTTTTGGGTCCTGACCCCCTGGTCCTACGCTAGGCAGAAATGACATCAACAGTGTCCATCCTTGAAAGGAATCAGTCTGTTATAGAACTGGCAGGATTTAAAGCCCTGAAGATTTGGAGACCACCATGATGTATGGTACTTGGCACGAAGCACTTCGTTATTCTGGGTAGGAGTGTATGGGGGAGGTCTGTAGCAGTGTTCCCTCTGATTTCTTTTCCATTCATGTGCAGAATAAATTTTGTTATATGCACCAAGGCATGTGCGGGTAGGCACCACCCGTAGAAATACATGTTGCCGGCTGTGGGCACTCTGCTAATCAGCTGGGCGGCATTTGAATCTCTCCTGGGCTGCTGCCCAAGTGCTCAGCCTGCAGAGAACACAGCTCTCGTTTTTCTTCCTTTTTTGCAGTCCAAATGAGGGGAGCAGGAAGATGAAGATTTCTTCATAAATTTGATCAAAGACCCCTCCAGGATGGATCCCAACCTGCTTCCACCAATGGTACAAGAAACTCGATGGAGGGTTGTCATGATCAGGAGGGTTAGCCAGCAGCCTGGGGACTAAGGGTTAACTATACCTAACTCAGGTAGAGTTACCCAATAGGAATGTAGGTAGGAATCTCAAATTAGGACAAAGGAATTTTTGGGTTTCCCTCCTTTATCTCTAGGTAGTTTTTTTCTCTTCAGCTATTGAAGGGGACAGGATGTCTCCCTCTAAGAAAATACTCTTCACAGTCTGTAAGTAGGATAAAGTTTAGACAAATCCGTTTTATTGTTTTATGGTTTGGGAAACAGGATCTAGTGTCTGTGCATTTAAAAATGGGTTTTGCTCTCCTTTGTAACTAAGTTCCTGGCTCATGGTAAATTTCTCCTCCATGAGTATATTATTTTGTCACTGTTCCATCTAGTGATTATGCTTGCAACAGGAATATTGTGGTGATAATAGAAATTCTTTCTCTTTTCTTTTTATTAACCTGGTATTGGTTAATTTGTGTGTCCTGGTTTGTACTCTAGGGGTGAGATTTCCGATGTAGTCTCTCCCTGTTTGCTTTATTAATATTTGGGTGATAGCAGCGGAGATTTTATCCCCAAAATCTAAGTTGTTAAGATTTTGGGGGGGAAGTTTTATACCAAAGCCTGGTAGATAAGGTTTTGGGGTACTTTTAGGGTTGCCAGGTGTTCGGTATTGTACCAAACAGTCTGGTATTTGTGCGCTCTGTCCGGTAAAAAAAAAACAGAAAATATCAGACATGTGCAAAGTCCGGTATTTTCTGATTTTTCCGGCTGCGCACCAGACTGAAGCCTGGAGTGGGCAGGGGGAGTGGCTGGGAGTCCCAGCTGAGAGGCGGGGCCGCGATTGCTGCCAGGAGCCCTCAGTTGGTTGAGTGTGAGGAGGAGGGGAAACCTCTACCTTGCATATGCACTTCTGATTTTTCCGGCTGCGCACCAGACTGAAGCCTGGAGTGAGCAGGGGGAGCAGCTGGGAGTCTCAGCTGGGAGGCGAGGCTGCGATTGCCGCTGGGAGCCCTCAGTTGGTAGAGTGTGAGGAGGAGGGAAGCCTCCTCCTAGCTCATGTGCCGCCAGGAGCCTGCGTGGGACAGGCAGCAAGTGCCCAGGTCAGTCCTGCTCCCTGCCGGCCAATTTGCTCACCCCCCACCCTTCCCGGCCAGCTGGTTCTCCACCACTTCTCCTCCTGATCTTCCCCGGCCAGCTCCCCTGCAACCCCACCAGCTCTGCTTCCCGCCAGCTCCTTCCTGATCTCCCCCGGCCAGCAC